AGTGGTGAGAGGGGCGATGCCTGGAGGGTGAAGGGAATGTGGGGTAGAAAGGGGGAACCAATTACAAGAATCTAAGTATTGCCTCCTCCCTGGGGGATGGACAGCAGAGAAGAGGGCAGAGGGAAACATCAGACAGGGTAACTTATGAGAAACTATAATAATTTACGAACTATGAAGGGTTCATGAGGGAGGGGGGAGAGGGAGGGAGGGGGGAAATGAGCAACTGATATTAGGGGCTAGAGTGGGAGGCAAATGATGAGGGCAACAAATGTTCATATGTGCTTGACACAATAGATATATGTATGGATTGTGATGAGAATTGTACGAGTCCCCAATAACATAAGTTTTAAAAAAAATGTTGATGTGGAGTCTTGCCCTAAGTCTCTTAATGGGAGTCAAAAACACTTTTTAAAAGTAATTATTTTGTTTGTTTTTCCCCAATAGGATATTCGATACTTCAAGCTATTATGGAAAAAGCAGGACAAAATGGTTGGCATGTCAGTGCTATCTGTGTGGAAAACTTTAATGATGTCAGCTATAGACAACTTCTGGAAGAACTGGATAGAAGACAAGAGAAGAAATTTGTAATAGACTGTGAAATAGAGAGGCTTCAAAACATATTAGAACAGGTGAGTTCTGGATCTTGCCGCATCGTTATCCTAAACCAGCTGCAGAGAGCTGCCCTTTCCTTTCCTTGGCCCGTCAAGTCTCCTCCCAGCTTTCCGTCTGCAGTGTGGTGGTTGGTCATTTTCCTTCTAACGTGTATCCCCCACAGCCATCAAATGATACTTCTTCCTCAACGAAAGCCAGTTTGGTCTTTATGGAGTTAGAAGCACTACTTCCCACTTGTTTTTAAGACAAGTGCAACGGAAGGAATCATTTAAAATGGCAAGCTGGCCTTCTATTTTCAGAATCACGCCATTTAAAGATGAATGCTGTCTAAAACATGAGAATAACGATTTTTTTGTGGTTGTGTACTTCTTTTTAATCTTTTGAGAAGTAGCTCCATGAGAAATAATTTTTTTAATCATGTATAATGCTGAGTATTGCATAATTCCTGCTAGAGGTTGCAAGTAAATACACTGCCATCAGTTAAGAGGGTTTTCAACGCCCCTCCCAGACGAAGAAGTCTTAAATGAAGTCCTCAATATATATTTGTTGATTTTATTTGACTTGATTTAAAGCAGACAGGCCGAGATAAAATTGATCCTTGGCATTGTGTTAAATGACAGGGAAATATCAAACAATGCATAAATAACATTTGCCTTCCCCCATCATCCTTCTTCTAAAGGCTGTAATTCGGCCAAAGTTACAGTGAATTAATGCCATCTAGTGGTCTTAAAAATCTCTACAAGCATTATGTTTTGGTAATGGTGGTTTAGCAGTATAAATCAATGATTTGATGATTTGTGATAGTGAGCTTATCAATTGGATAAACTTATTTATGAGAATGAATTGAATATTCAGCTGTGAAAATCAAAACCGTAATAAGTTTCAGTGATTTCTCCTTAATATCTAAGGTCACTGAACTACATGTAATAAGCTTCCTTCCTCAACTACATGAAGTTAAAAATTTTTTTAAATGTGTTTCTTCTGAATACCTAGTGCAGTCGGTCTATATGCTAAGAGAAAGTGAAAGTATTCACAGTAGTGATAGAATGGAGGTGAAGGGATGTGGACCCCTTGGTGACAGTCAGAGGGGGTTGCCATAAAGAGTGTCTATAAAACTGGGGGGCAGTGTTGCAGCAGAATCTTTTTTCTTTTAGCAAAAATATTATTCCTATAGTTAGTTTAAGCAATAAGGGATTTTTGTCTTAAACCCTGTTTGTTTGTATCAATATACCTACAAGGCTAAAACTTTATGCAAATTTGTTCTTTGAACCGTCTAACATATTCTGGGCTAATGAGACCTGGTGGCTCTGTTGGGTAAGCGCTGTTGGACTTTAACTGCTAGGTCAGGCGTTCAAACCCACCAGAGAAAAACGAGGCTATCCTAATTCCTATCCTGGAAATAAAGATTTCCAACTTCAAAAACCCTGTATAGGGTCACGATGAGTTGGAATGAAGAGCCCTAGTGGTGTGGTGGGTGATGCATTCAGCTGCTAACGTGAGACCTGCGGGACCATGTTTGGGTCAGAGCTGTCATTGTCACCCAGTGACAATAACTCTGAGTCACATGGTTTTGTCGGTAGGCACCACAAGCACACGCAGTTGCTATCAGTTCTTATATTTGTTTGGGGTCAAATGTACTTGTGCTTAAGCTATTTGGAAAAGGAGCCTTCGTGGCCTAGTAGGTGACATGTTGGATAGCAGGTCAAAATCACCAACGGTTCCCAGGGAGACCGATGAGGCTGGCTGCTCCCGTCAAGATTCACAGCCTTGGGGACCCACACAGCAGTTCTGCTCTGTCCTCTCAGGTCACTGTGAGGCAGGCTGGACTCAAGGCATTTCGTTTGGGGGAATTTGGGGGTGGGAGGGAGGGCAGGGGGAGTTGGCGATATGGTTAGTATTTGTGAAGTATATAAATAACTTTTTTGAAAATGAAGTAGTAATAAAAGGAAAAGGTAAAAAAATCCATAAAGGCTTCTACTCAGTACCCTCAAATAATGTTGTCTCTAATAACCTTGTGGCTAAAACTGTGGTGAGTCGATGTATAAAGGTTATACCAAGCTCTTTTAGTCATGTTCAGATCATCTAAGGAGTATTATTTGTAAGCAATGGACAACTGTACTTATCTTGTTGTATGATGAAAATGGACAGTGAGCATTACTAAAGCTTCTGTCTGATAGAATCGGCAGGAGTTGGGGGGTGGCGGGGAGGCATGCTAGAGGGGCAGAGGGGTAGACACTGTGAGACAGCAATCCTCAAGATGCCCGGGAGTAAATCACTTCTGTCCTCCCTTAATAGAAAGCCAGCGAGCAAACAAACTCGACTGAGTATTGGTAAATAGTCATTGTAATCACTCGGGTTGATTGCTGAGAAGTTCCCCCCACAGTCCACTAATGCTACACCTATTTAAGATTTGTGATTTTTTTCTTCTTTTAAATTGGGGAGTTGTCGAATCTAAGGGGGAAAAAAACTTTCAATTTCACTTTCTTAAGCAAGACAGTCGCTTTAGTCCTAACTGCCTCTCTGCAGCTCTCTCCTCTTATTGAGAGTTTGAGTTGTTTGACCTGAACAACTGACGCTTTGTAAATAATTCCCCAGAATCCAACAGAGAAGCCAATTCTAAGAATTGTCTGGATTGGCAAATTCCTGTCAGAGTAAGAGTTAGGAGCAGAAAGACCCTCCACTTAGCACCTGGGCTCAAAAGACCTCGCCCAGAGAAGGCAATGGAGTGCCTAAGGCATTCTGACCTATTCAGAGGCTTAGCTGGTTTCTAAGAAGAAAATTGACACACCTGGGTGCTTTGGATAAACTTGAATAAACCTTGAATAAGTTCTCACTAAAGGCACTGGACTGATGCGTATTTCCCCCTTGTCATTTCAAAGAAATTAGAACACTTGAGTGTCTGCCTTTTCTATTCTTCTTCTTGTCTCTTTTGAATTCTAAAAGGTTTCTTTTCTATCAGCACTGTATAGTAATAATGAGAGTAGTAATAGGCCTTTCTCCCTTTAAAATGCCTACATGGTATGAATCTTATTCATTAAAACAAAGTCTGCTGAATTGTAAGAAAATAGCATGCTCTTAATTGTCCTATAAGATTTCCTCTCCAAGAGAAAGCTGTTTTCTTATTCTGAACATGCTTTTTCTTAAATTCTCACTTTCCTTGTATGAGCGCCAGGTTTCATTCCCAGCAGCCAGTGCACTCCCTGCACCCATCTGTCTGTGGTGGTTTATGTGTTACTATCTGCAGCTGCTGAGCAGGTTTCCATGGAGACCAGGATGGACTGGATGAATAAGAAAGGCCTGGCAATCCACTTCATAATGTCAACTGAGGGAAAATCTCTGAATGCCCATGGTTTGGTCCCTGAGGGATCGTTCAACACTGGCCAGCACTGGGTTCCATTGTGCATTGGGTCTCCGTGAGATGGAAGCCAATGTGATGACAGCTAACAATGCTGTTGTCGCACATTGAGGAGTCCGTTCCAACTCATAGGGAGCCTATGTACAACAGAACAAAGCACTACCCACTTCTGCCCCGTCTGCACAAGGGTTCCTATATTTAAGCCTATGCTGAAGCTACTGGGTCAATCCATCTTGTTGAGGGTCTTGTTAAGGGTCTTCCTCTTTTTCACTATCCCTCCACTTTACCAAGCATGATCTACTTCTCCGGGGACTGGTCTCTCGGGATAAGACGTCCGGCATTCTGGCCATACTTCTTGCAAGCTAGCAATAGCATCATTTCATTTTGGGTTGCACCAAGCAAAACAATTTGTTGTGTTTCTTGGTTTAATGCTTAACTCATGCGAACACAACCATTAACCAAAACGCTGTCAGAAGTTGTGAATGTATTTCAATACTTCTGCTTCAATACCCTCTTTCAGAAAGTGAAACAACTGAGAATAATTTGAGAAACCAACTAAAGCATATTTTGAAAAGTAAATTGCAAAATAATATTGATAGAAATGCTTTTGAAAAAGTAGCACTCTCTCAGAAAATGGTTAAATTGTTAATGTAATAAAGATTAGGAAGTATAGAAGTAAATCTATGCAGGGGCAGACACACTTCCTCTTACGGTGGCATGCAATAAGTCGTTGCCTCAGTGACATTTTCATCTGTGTCAGTTTGCAAAACCATAATAATATCACATACAGCTGTCCCTCAATAGATGGTAATGGACAAATTTGTATTCCACCATCAACTTAGTTCTTAGAAATGTATTTCCATGCAAAAAATGTATTTCCATATGCTCATTCAAACATTTTTAGAAGCGAGCTTCAGGAGAAATATTTTATATGTAGTTATCTCAGTGTTATCCACTGAGTTTAAGGTAATGGCAACAACAAAAATACAAAGCTAGCTTTATTGTCATTTTCTTTATTTTCACACATATCCATCAACCATAAATCCTGAATGGAATAACTTTCCAAGAGGCCCTTGAAGGCCTGCCTTATCAATGTAAGTTCAAGTACGGACTTTCATTCATGGATATAACTGTTAAAATGGTGTGGGGTGCCTTCTGCCCTTCTCTCATTTCACTAGAGGAAAGAGAATCAGACCCAGGTCAATTCCAACGAGGAGGTTAGACATAACCTCCACTCTACAGACTTCCTACCCCCTCTGATACCAATTGTCCCTCCCACAGCACTCTCCTTCCTACTGAGTTCAACAAGTTCTTGTGACTGCCATACAGAACTCACAGAGAAGACTCACAATTACAGGGCTTATTAGAGAAATTTATAGATTGTTACTCAACAAAATGTTCAGGATATGGTTCTCTAGTCTGGACAGCCCGTTCTCACCCACAGGCATGCTTCTGTCCTGCTCTGGTAGTGTTAAAGCGTTCCTAACTACTACCGATAAAGGCCAAATGGGCACACCACTCTTCTCTAAACTGCAACCCCAAAGTGGCCAAGAAGCCTGGCACTCCCAATTAAGTCCCTAGAAGCACCCTACTCCACAAGTGAGCCTCTTGCCCAGAAGTGTTCAGCTTCCCACTCACTCAGTGGACTGGGAAGCAGACTAC